ACTAGGGGACAGTTTATTGGGCTAGAGGAGAGTCGATTTGGCGTTTAATGGCGACCTGTTTTTAATTGTGTTCAGAAACTTTCAACTGTGTATTCATAACTTTCGTTCTCATCGCCATGAATTAATGACGAATAGCGCTACAGCTCGTCCGACACTTAATGGGGTAGATATATGCCGACAACTTTATGAAGACATAGTTGGCTCGCAAACTATACACTTGTAACGACAAAGGCGTCCAAAGGGCCTACCGATCAACATCTGGTATTATTTACAGGGTCGATCTTAAGTAAGGAAAATCTAATTAGGTTGTTGGGTCCGGTAGAATGTAAAATACAGCACAGTTGAGTAGGCGCGAGCTGCCCAATTACTGCACATAATTTCGCGAAAGAAAAACCTTCCAGTGTTCTAATTGGAATAGTACACCAACACGTAACTCTTCAATAAACCCTAAAAAGATAGTTAAGAGTAACCCTTAGCCTAACCGTAACATACCTTAAACATAACTCTCACCATAGCCATACGAGAGAACCTAAATTCCCTGGAACTTTGTGCACATGTACCTCATTTTAGGCGGTCCCAATTCGCATGTTCTGCTTGGCGAGACATATACGCCCCCCTAATTAATCTGCCACTAAGCCTGGATTCTAGCCAGTTAGTGTTTCTAAGGTGTGACCGACCTTAAAGTCCATAGGTAGTATGAAAAGTCAAATGCTTAGTGATGCAAGCAGATTGCCTCAAAGCATCAGATCTCACTTAATACGCAGGAAGCAGAGAGCATGAAAGAAATCGCCTTCAACGGGGTACACAAGCGTTTTGCAAAGCCGGTAAAACAACGCACCTGGGGTGCTTCTACATTCCAGTTCAATGCCTCCACAGTGGAGGATATCGCCGTCGTTGAAGACCATGTCGGCCTTCGCCTTAGACAGGACAGAAATCACGCTCTGGCAGCCCTCGATAGCCTGCTTCAAGTTGCGTGTGCCGGTCACATGATCAGCGTGGACATGCGTGTTGATGGCGTAGAGTAAGCGTAGGTCCAATTCTTTTACCTTAAAAAAAACGAGTGGATAGGACAAGAATGTCGCACTAAAACATATCCAGTTTCCAGTACCGTAAACGACTGCTGATAGAAATGCAGAGACGAGTTCCAGTCTGCAGTTCAAAAGACGATGCAGTCGCAGAAAAA